CCCAGCCGGGCAGGAGGAAGGGGCAGCCGGGGACGTCCAGCCCCGTGGTCCCGCTGCCAGAAGAAGAGGGTCCCAGCCCCGTTCACCAGCCGCAGCAGCCGATTATCGCCCTTGGCGAGGCCACATCTCCATGGCTAAGCCCTGGCCACCGTCAGAACAAACGTGACACATGTCCTCGCCCCACCGGCCGGCCCCACAGCCCATGGAGCAGCTACTGGGGGTCTGCCCGGCGAGGCTTGATTTCACGGGTCTTCATGTAGGAGAGCAGCTGCTCGGGGATCTCAGCCAGCACATCCTTGGCCAGGCGGGCCATGCTCAGCACCTGGTTTCCCGAGTCATCCACGTAATCCCGAAATGGCACAAACTTCGAGGGAAAGAAGGTTTCAGCCCAGTTGGAAACAACCCTGCGGTTGCAGGGGTCAGAGAGGAGCTGAGCACCTCTCACCCGTGGTGGGACCGGGCTCAGTGCCGGTGTTACCTGTACGATGTCCCTCTCAGCATAGCGTCCACGGGAAGACACCCGAACCTCGTCACCGTCCAGCTCCTCCATGGCTGGGGGGTGACAGCTGGTGTCACCGAGCCTCGGTGGGCTGGCCACCGGGGACAGTGTTTCCATCCCCCTTCCCTGGTGTCCCCAAGCCCCAACTCACCCTCAAACTCAGCCGGACCCACTCCCACAATGATGATGGACATGGGCAGGGCAGAAGCCTGTGGAGCAGAGGCAGGGTGGCAGCCGGGCACCACCCGGTGTGGGGTGAACTCACGGCAACGAGGGTGCACTCACGGTGACGATGGCTTCCTTGGTCTGCAGCATGTCGGAGATGACGCCGTCGGTGATGATGAGGAGGACGTGGTACTGTGAGCCATCAGTCACCTGGGCGGCCGCCCTATGGGGACAAGGGATGGGGACCCTCCAGCAGCCCCACGGGGGGGGGCCGCCGCCTCCACTGTGGGACCGGTGGCATTTGGGGACAGAAAAGGGGACAAAGTCCCACAGTGCTCACCCGGCCACCTGGTTGATGACGGGGGCGAAGTTGGTGGGACCGTAGAGCTGGACGGTGCGCAGGCTCTGGAGGTAGGACTCCAGTACACCCTCAATGCCGGCGCAGCTGGGGTTGTCCACGTTGTTGTTCTGGGGGACGGGGACGGGCACTTGGAGGGGGACCACAGCTCCCAGTGTGCCCCCCAGGCT